GACGCATGCGTAGTAAAATTTTGTTTCAATTTTTTTGTTTTTAAATTGTAAACAAATATTTGAAAAGCCGTGAAATTTCAGTGTTTTGGGGCCTTGATTTGCTATGAATACTGATGAATCTGACGCTGCAATAGCCTGTTTGTGTACAGCTATTGTCTTAGCGGTTCGCCGGCAGARGAAGAGGAGAAAACCTCGAACAATTTGGGTAAAACCATGGATCGCGACGAGAGAAGTGGATGGTGCTTTTCACAAACTTTTAAAAGATTTGTCGGATGATCCTTTTCACTACAAGAATTTTTTACGTATGGACCTGGCCACTTTTGAGCTGCTATTAAGCGAAATCGATCCGCTTATCCAAAAACAAGACACGATAATGAGAAAACCAATTTGTCCAGCTGAGCAACTCGCCGTAACTCTACGATTTCTCGCGACCGGCGAGTCATACACCAGTCTCCAGTACCAGTTTAGGATAGGAAAAGGGACACTTTCAGCCTTAATTCCCAACGTATGTCTAGCAATGACAACCAGCTTGGCTTCAAGATACCTTTCGTGTCCAAACACAGTTCAACAGTGGGAAGAAATAGYGGATGGATTTTATCACAGGTAAATATTTATATTATAAATTCGTGTTTACATGGTATAAGTGTTGTTCTTTGATTCAGACAGTTACATCCAAAATTAATTTCATAAATTGACATTTTTTTTGAAATCACTACACTTTGTATCATTTTCACGGGATGTGTTCATTTTTGTCTCGTAATCTAATGACTTTTATCCATTTTTTGGTAGAGCCACAAAAAATGACTGCATAAATCACCTTTATAGCACTGTGAATACTTACCCAATATACAGTAGCTAAAAACCATTGCTTGTTATTGTAATGACAGGTGGCAGCTGCCCAATTGTCTTGGTGCCATAGATGGTAAGCACGTCAAGATCTTGCACCCCCCTGGTAGTGGCTCAGACTTTTTCAACTACAAAGGGTTCTTCAGCATTGTATTGATGGCAGTGGTAGGGCCAAATGCAGAATTTAYTTTTGCAGATGTTGGTTGCCAAGGCAGGATCAGTGATGGTGGGGTCCTAAAGAATACTCTTTTCTACCAAGCCCTTGAAAAACAACAGCTTCATATCCCAGAACCAAAGGAACTTCCAGTTGATGGAGAATTCACTGATTGGAGACCTGTGCTGCCATACTTTTTTGTTGGAGATGATGCTTTTGCCCTCTCTGAAAATCTAATGAAACCATATCCAAACAGAGGTCTGACGGAAGWGCAGCGTGTTTTTAATTATAGAYTGTCCCGTGCCAGAAGAGTAAGTGAAAATGCCTTTGGCATTCTGAGTTCCAGGTTTCGTTTGTACCACACAACATTGTGTGTTAAGCYGGAGAATGCAGTATCAATAGTTCATGCAACAATATTGTTACACAACTATCTCATGCGGCAGTGCGAGGGATATGCAGGACTGGCTGATGACCCCAGCAGTGTGAAATATAGTGATGCATCTTCAACTGCAAACATCAACAATCTGACAATTCCTGGTAGTAATCACAAGCAAAAGGCAAGTGCTGTGAGGGACAAGTTGCGTGATTTTGTCAATGGACCAGGGCAAGTATCTTGGCAGTGGAATATACTTTTACCGTAATTGTCTTGTATCTTGTACAATCAGGGAGTGTTCATTATTGTATTCCTCGTACATAGTAGTTTACTATTCATCATTATTTATGAAATGGTGGTGGGGGGGACTGGCATTTTTGGTGACTACACTTTCATAATCTATATGAACCCCTTGCAAAAAAGCAAAAAATATTACATTGAAACTTGTCTTTAAAAATTATCTTGAAAATCAAGTAACCCCCCAATAAGGTCCCCAAGTCTTTTGCCCTCCCCCATTATTTCACCGCTCCCAACCATAAATAATGAACACTCCCTAAATGGTA